CCCCGTGGGGATCGCCCCGGGACACCCGTGTCCTGTATCCTCACCCAGGGGTTATGTACACCCCAATACTTGTGCATCCCCGTGGGGATCGCCCCGGGACACCCGTGTCCTGTATCCTCACCCAGGGGTTATGTACACCCCAATACTTGTGCATCCCCGTGGGGATCGCCCCGGGACACCCGTGTCCTGTATCCCCACGCGGGGGTTATGTACACCCCAATACTTGTGCATCCCCGTGGGGATCGCCCCGGGACACCCGTGTCCTGTATCCCCACGCGGGGGTTATGTACACCCCAATACTTGTGCATCCCCGTGGGGATCGCCCCGGGACACCCGTGTCCTGTATCCCCACGCGGGGGTTATGTACACCCCAATACTTGTGCATCCCCGTGGGGATCGCCCCGGGAAACCCGTGTCCTGTATCCCCACGCGGGGGTTATGTACACCCCAATACTTGTGCATCCCTGTGGGAATCCCCCCCCCAGACACCCCGGTCCCGCAACTCCTGGGGGCTGCATACACCCCCACAGTTGTGCATCCCCGTGGGGACCCCCTGGGGCACCCCGACCCTGCACCCCTGGGTTCCCCTTAGACCCCCTTCCTTTGCGCCCTGATGTCCCCACTCGCAGCACACACCGTCCCTGTGCCCCCCCAGGGTGGGCCCTTGCACCCCCGTGGCTGTGCATCCCTGTGGGGATCCCCCTAAGGGCACCCTGCCTTTGTAACTCCCCCATGGGGCTGCGTGCACCCCATTAATTGTGCAGCCCGGCGGGGACATTCCTCTGCACCCTGGGTGCCCCTTGCACCCCATGCACACCTACAGGTGCACCCGTGGCTTGTCCCCATGCCCCATCCCACCGTGAGGACCCCGGGGTCACCATGCCAGGGACAGGGTGCCTGTGGGTGCCTCTGAGGGTGGTCTCACACTCACGGGGTGGGGTCTGCACAGGGGCCCCTGGGGTGCACGGGAGTCATCAGCCAGGTCCCCACTGCACATGGAAGGGTCAGGGAGGGTTGGGGGCCCAGGAGTGGCCACTGGGTCATGGGGTCCATGTCCCCAGGCCAGGGCGAAGGAAGGGGAGGTTTGGGGTGGCCCCGTGGCTCCCGGCAGCCCTGGGGGGGCTCAGCCCGGCTCATGGCAGGTGTGAAGTGACCACATTCCACCACCCGTGCTGCGTTTTGCCAAATGCCGCTTGTTTTAATTAACGCCTGTTGCAAACCTCCAGGTGATTAAGAGCAGCCCGTGGCACCCACCTCCGGGCACACGTGGCACAGGGACACCCCAGCACCACCCCACGCCCTTCCCCCAGCAAACACAACTACCCCACTCAGAGGAAATTCCACCCCCTGGGGGGAAATAACTCCTGCTGGCTTCAGAAGCCGCCCCTCGGGGGAAGGTTTTGGCAGCGGGTCCGTGTCCCCGGCGCTGCTCCGGTGGGTGACATCGGTCACGGTGGCT